TATCAAGATTTTAGATTTTGGAGTTTTCTTTATATATATATATAATCATTCCCTCATGATGTTAGGTGCATTTGATTAGAGTTCTATTTTTTTTTAAAATAGATGCATAAGGGATATGAATATATTTGGTTGAAAGAATATAGACATTAACATAAAATAAATTTGTGACACTTTTGAGTGAAATTTATTATTTCAAAATAAAAGTTAAAAAACAAACTTTTTAGGTAAAAAAACCTATATGTTTGATTTTCTAGGCATTATAATATTAAATAAAATTTGGGCTCGGTAACGATACTATTTGTTATAGTGAGCAACATTTTATTTACTTATTTTTTTTTCAAATATATTAGGGATGAACAACAAATCTTTCACCCCTTTAAATAAAAAATTAAAGTGCATTTGATTAGAGTTCTATTTTTTTTTTTTTTTGTTAGGTGCATTTGATTAGAGTTCTATTTTTTTTTAAAATAGATGCATAAGGGATATGAATATATTTGGTTGAAAGAATATAGACATTAACATAAAATAAATTTGTGACACTTTTGAGTGAAATTTATTATTTCAAAATAAAAGTTAAAAAACAAACTTTTTAGGTAAAAAAACCTATATGTTTGATTTTCTAGGCATTATAATATTAAATAAAATTTGGGCTCGGTAACGATACTATTTGTTATAGTGAGCAACATTTTATTTACTTATTTTTTTTTCAAATATATTAGGGATGAACAACAAATCTTTCACCCCTTTAAATAAAAAATTAAACAGGCATAGGCATGTCGACCTGCACCTTTCCTTTCTTATTTTTTTTTTATTTTTAATTTTTTTAATTAATTCCTTATTCTATAGGTCTTGTTTTTTAAAATAATTCTTAACTTTTTTTTTAATTAATACCCTTTCTTCGGGGCTTATTTAGCCTTTTTTGAATAATAATTTTTTTTATTATTATATTGAGTGTGCTGAATTTTTGATGAGATTAATATGATTTATCTATATTTTTTTTTATATTTCATATAGATTAAATTTATTTTTAAAAATTTAAAATGTTTATTTTTTTTATAATATCTTTAATATATGTAGTCTTACATAATATTTTTTTTCCCTTTATTTTTTTAATAAATTTTATGAGTGTCGATTTCTATTATAAAATAATTTTAATAAAAAAATTCATTGAATACAATCGAGTAAATCACCCGTATTGTACTATTAAATATCATGATTTATATTTGTCTTTTAATTTTTTCTGTCTCATTTTTATTTATCATCAATTATTTCATCCATTGAATTATCTCGATTTTATAAGAAGCACGATATACATGTAATCTAAACATGTCTCATGTCAAAGTCAAGAATTTCACATTTTAACCTAACTTCATTTAAAAAATTATTTTTTTGAATTTCTTTTATTGTTGTTGCCTCATTTATTTTTTATCATATTATTATATTAATTAAGATTTAACTTGATTATCAGATTTCTTTTATTTATTTAAAAACATAATAATCTTATGAACTTTTCTTTTTGAAGTTAAAAAAATTATTTTGGCTTGTGGTGTCTCGCAAGCCACCAATCTACTTTAACTCAAAAACTTTTATTTATCCAACCCAAAACTTTAGAAAAAATTGCAAATAAATTAATTCTTGAAATTCTTTTAAAAAAATATGTACAAAATTTACCCAAAAGCATGAGATTTATTAATATAAATGAGACAAGCCTATATGTCAGTGCTACGCTGTAAGGATGAACTATTATTTTGAAAAAAATAATATTCAAGTATTGAAAATGGATAAAAAAAATATAAAAACTATTAATAAAAAATATGTAAAAATAGTAATTAGAGCTAAGTCAACACAAAATATTCATATTCCGTCAAATTCATGGCTCACATATATGATTGAAGTAACTAAATTAAAAATAAAAAGAATTATAAAGCTTTTATTTTTTTAAAAAAAATATTAACTTTTTAAAATTGTGATCCAAGTAATTAAGTTTGAAGCACTAATTCTACAAAAATCATGAAATCTAATTCCTAAAAAATTAAATATTAAAAAAAATCTAGCCATACAAAAGGATTTAAGAAAATAACAATTCAAAAAATAAAGATCAAAATCATTATCACTATCACTATTATTATCATTATTATCACTATCACTATTAATAAGGTAATGCCATTATCATTATGACCATTATCATTATTTTTATCACCACTACTATTATTACTACTACTATCACCATCACCACAAGTATTATTAACATTATCATTATTATTAATAATAGTAACATTCCTATTAATATTATTACTATATTAACAATTATTACCACAATATTACTATTATTGTTGTTGTTGTTGCTGCTATTATTATTATTATAACTACTATTAATATTTTTTTTATTATCATTATAATTTTATGTTTTTTTTCTTTATCATCATCATCATTATCATCATCACTACTACTATTACTACTTGTAGTAGCAACAACAACAAATATTATTGCTATCACCACTATTATTATTATCACCACTAATTTTTATCATCATCATCATAACTATTGTGAATAATAATGTTCTCATCAACATCATCATTACTAATTTAATTCTTGTTGTTTTTATCATTACCATGACTATTATTATTATTATTATTATTGAAAAACCATGAACATGATTTGAAGAATTGAATTGAAAAATATAAAAAATTTAACAAAAAGATCAAGAAAAATAATAAAAAAGGGATCAAATTGAAATCATTATTATTATTAAAAAAATAAAAATTATAAACTTGATTTGAAGGATAAAGTTGAAAGCCACAAAAACTTTGACAAAATAAAAAATTAAGAAAACATAAGAAATTAAAAGTAGAAGGATCGAGTTAAAATATCTTATATATACAAATTAAACACAAATAATTAAATTAAAAACAAACAAAACTTCAATAAAAAAAATGATTAAAAAACAATAGTCAAAACTAAAGTTCCGAATCTGAAAATAACTATAATAATGAGTACCATAATGTATTTACAAGGATAAAAGAAAGAAATGAATGAAGAAAAAAAAGGATTTTTTGCAATATACTAACTATATTTGAAAAACACGCAATACTTATAATATAAAATAATAAAAAGGTAGCTTAATTAATCATTTTTTGGATTTATTTTTTAATAATTATGAGTTTGAGTTCTTTCAGGATTACTGAAATTTATATAATTATTAATTTTAATATTTATAATACAAGTTGAGGTATATGGAAGCCATGAACACTTGTATTAATAAAAAAATAAACCAGAAATAAACTGAGACGGGAAATCCTATTTGCCGCTGGTGAGATTTATCTGCAGGGTAGCTGCATAATTGCACAGAGAAGAAGCAAAGAAGCAAACAACATTAATTCCCAGAAAACCCATGATATCGGTAATAATAAAACAAACCAGCCCACAGAAACATGCAACAAGAAAAACAAAGCAGAGAGGTCATCCTGGGCACTGAGCGTCTTGGCATAACAGTGGAAAAGACTTCTCTTTTTGCTAATTTTAGGTTTAAGTTTTTATGTGCATGTCAATTATTTTTATAATACTTAACATATTTATTGGATTTACATAGTATTTAGTGGATTATAAAATTAGTCACGGGTAAACCGACCTGAATATTTACATAAATAAAATAAAAAAGTCTCATCCTCGACTGCCCTCTGCCTTCTCTAATATTATAGTCCCCTTGATTTACTCTCACCTCATTAATTAAATAACAATCAACTCATATCAAAAGTAGACAAACATGTACTTCCAATAAAAATTAAGTTCAGTAAGATTTACGAACAATATCATATATAAAAAGTAAAAATCACAATAAAATTTAATAAACCAACAACCCTCATAAGCGCGGGTTTATTTTTTGGAGCCAAAGGGGGTCCTTGATTTGGTCGTAGCATTCAACCACTGCTCCAAAGACACCATGCATGTGCCTTCATGCAACACAGATTAAAGCTTCTTCGGAGTTTTCTTAGAAAAAAAAACAAAACCTTATCAAAGTAGAAGCCCCCTGTTCCTGTCTCTTTACCAAAGAAGGCTGTGGCATTGAAGTCCATGATCCGTAGGAAATAACTCCATTGATCATTAATTAATTGTCGCCTTTTTCTAGGTCGATGAAATCTAGTATATTGTGGTCTATGACTGTGGCACTTTTTTTTTTGGCCCCTTGAAAGCTTGATTAGGCCCGTCAAACTAAGGGCATCAGATACGAGGATATCTCAGATTTCTTCTTTCAGGCAATTTTATATGTTAAATTATTTGTATTTGTTTTGTAAAAAATGTTAAAGAATCTGAGATGTCTCGAGACCTTATATTCTCTCAAAGCTATGAATGTCGATGTTTTTCTAAGATGAAGAGAATCACATTATTTAGTGGAAGGGAATGCGGATTTTGTTTTTTATATTTTAATACCCTTACTTTTTTTAAATTTTTTTTAAATGGACTCAAATATCCTTACTGGGTTTATGTGCATAATTATTTAGAAAAAAAAAACCATAACAAATTAGATATTTTAAATCTCAACGGTAGAATAGTAAATCTATTTAATTTATTTTCATAAATATCCATGGATGAACCAAACATAATAAAAATACATTACTAGTCATTTTCAGTTTCAATTCAACACAAATATCATTTTTTCAACAATCATTTTTTCTATAATCACATTCCAAAAGGATATCTAAGAATTCTCGTAACAAATGTTCCCTAAAAGTAATTACCTTATTTTTTAAAGCAAGACAATTAATCCCCTATCAATTATTTTAATATACATATATATATTCCCTAAGTCCCATTTTTATTGGCTTTTTATAATTTTTAGCTGTCCGTTTTATTTGACCATTTTGAAAGGCAACTTAAAAATAGGAAAGGAACAATTTTTAAAGTCAACACTAATTACTACACTTCCTTAAAATTTATGGGTTTTTTTTTTTTTTTTGAAAATAATCAAAAGTAATAGAATGGAGGGAGTAATACAATACGCGGTCTTTCAACTTCAACATTATAAAAAGAGGAGCACGCCATTGTTTACAGTATTTCGTGAAGGAGAAGAAATATTAGAGACTAGAGATGAGAAGAGAGTGCCATCCTTTGTTGAGGGGAGGGAGAAATAGAGAGAGCAAATACAACCATGGGCTCTCTTCAGCTGAGATGGAAGCGCTTTCTAGCCTATGCGAGACTATATTTCCTTCTCTGTCACCGATTCCAAAGTTTGACGGGAAGCAAAACCAACCTACCAAGGCCATGCAGGCCTTCTACAGAGCCTCTGCCTCTCAAACGCCAATGCCTGATGAGGTATAGAATCGATATATTCTCCCCCCTCTTAAATATTTCTCCATCTGATCACACAGTTAATTTAGTCTTTGTTGGCCCATTGTTAGATATTGCGCCGCACCACCCACATAAAAAAACTGTCAAAACTATTCAATTTCCTAAAGGAATTTACTGAAATTGGTAGTTTACTTTCTATTTTTTATATTTTTTTTACAGATGGCAGAGCTTTTAACGAAGAGGGGGTTGCTAGAGGCTGTGTTCCTGGTAAGATTGGTTCTATGGCTTCTATCTACTAGGCTGGGTACATTTTTGCTTTGTGGGTCTCTTTGTTTTGAGGAGAAATGGCCATACTTTAAGAATTTTTCAAGCATCCCTTTGGACAAGAGGGAGAGGGTTTTGCAGAAGTGGTTCAAACATAGGTTTTTTACGCCAATCAGAGCTGCCTTCGTATATGTCAAGATCTTGATCCTCTACGTCTTCTTCTCTAGGGTAATGCCATCTGATCACTTTTCAGGATTCCATGCTCTTTATTCTTTGGTATTTTCATCTATCATAATCATGCCAGACAATTTTATTTTTTTTAAAATTATCTGGGCAGTAGAGGTTCAAGGGTGGTTAAGTTCGTGAGGAATTACAAAGGGGATTAAAATTCTAGGTGTATTAATAACTTCTCTAATAACTTGGTTATTTATATGAAAGATTATCAGTATTTCGTGTAATGCTTCCTTTTCCGTGTAAAAATAGAACCTATATATCCATAGTTATTATGATGAGTTTCATTTTTTTATGTGCCGGAAACCATGGACTAATTAAAAAAAGTCATGATTTAGTATGATCCAAACAAAAACAATCTAAATTCTTGATATTTTATTTTTCTCATTTAATTTAAATAATTCAATTTAAAATCAAATGTAAAATTTGAAACATGACTAGTCATGTTTATTTAAGAATATGAGATAATCCGGACCCATTAGTTAATAATATACAAATAATTTCTCTAAATATAAAACATAAAAGTCAAAGATAAAGATAGTCTCCGTCAATGGTACTTATCGTTCCGTAGTATACAATTATTGATTATCGAGTATTAAGTGAAATACTACTTGGTGTAAAGTGTTTCTACTTTTAAATCATAAAATAGTTAACGTCTAAATCTAACTTGATGCTAGAAAGTTGACCATCTTGTAGTCAAGGAGGGGAAAAAAAGTAAGTTTAAATTTTGAATCAGTGTAATGGTGGATTTGGCCGCAATTTATCAATAAAAATTAGAAACGAAAACCCTTGAAAATGAGCTTTTTGCTTTGTATCGGTTAGGAAGTGAGTAGTTGCAGTTGCATTGTCATCAATAAGAGGTTTTAAAACAACAAAAATTGCACGCAAGATGAAGGAAAATTAATGGAGGTTGACACATTGTTATCACAATCTTATCGAAGATGTGAACTAGCTGGGAATTATTATAAGCCATTATATTTGGAATCCCCCACCAAGAAATGGACCTCTCGGCACTTAGCTTTCCAAGCTATTTAACTCAAGATTGCCTACTACAGGTTGATGAAAAAGGTGACAACCCAGCATGGGAAGCCATTGAATATAATGTAGGCGCTGATGAAAGTCCAGATCAGGTTCCTAAAGAGAGGCCCCTTCAAAAGGGATTGATAGATACTAATCAAGAAACTGCCTCCACCCTTCTACACTCTCTTAAAGAGAAAGGACTAAGAGTTACTCAAGATCCTCGAAAGAACGTTTATAAAATCAAATGTGATGTTGTCATTGTTGGCTCCGGTTGTGGTGGTGGAGTTGCAGCAGCTGTTCTTGCAGCTTCTGGGCAGAAGGTGTTTGTTCTTGAGAAAGGAAACTACTTTACTGCTTCCGATTATTCTGGTTTGGAAGGCCCTTCCATGGACCAACTATATGAATCAGGTGGAAAACTTGCGACTACTGATGCAGAGATGCTGATCATGGCAGGATCAGCAGTTGGAGGAGGTTCTGCTGTTAACTGGTCAGCATCCATCAAAACACCAAATTCTGTGCTTCAGGAATGGACTAGGAACCAGAAAATCCCACTTTTCGGAAGTTCTGAATATTTTTCTGCCATGGATGCTGTTTGTACTAGAATAGGAGTCACAGAGAGCTGCGGAGAGGAAGGATTTCAAAATCAAGTACTTCGGAAAGGGTGCGAGTCCCTTGGTATTCCTGTCAAAACCGTCCCACGAAATTCCTCAGAGAGGCATTATTGTGGCTCTTGCGGTTATGGTTGTCGAAAAGGAGAGAAGAAAGGGACTGATCGTACGTGGCTGGTCGATGCTGTTGATCATGGGGCAGTGATCATAACAGGATGCAAAGCAGAGAGATTCATGTTGGAAAATAACGAGGGTGGAAGTAAGAGAAAAAAGAAATGCGTGGGAGTGACCGCAAAAATTGTAAACAACAATATCAGAACGAGATTGCAAATTGAGGCCAAGGTAACAATCTCAGCATGCGGAGCTCTTTTGACACCCCCTTTAATGATCTCCAGTGGATTGAAGAATCAGAATATAGGCCGGAACCTTCATCTACACCCTGTACTAATGGCTTGGGGATACTTTCCAGAGTCAAATTCAGAGTTCAAGGGGAAAGTATACGAGGGTGGAATAATCACAGCAGTTCATGAAGTGTTAACAGGAGACTCCAACGCGAGGGCAATTATAGAAACTCCTGCATTAGGGCCTTCGTCATTTGCTGCGTTATATCCCTGGGTGTCGGGACATGACATGAAGGACAGAATGGCGAAGTATGCAAGAACTGCTCACCTCATAGCAATAATAAGAGACAGCGGGTCTGGAAAAGTGACGACAGAGGGAAGGATATCCTATAATTTAGATGCAATGGACAAAGAGAATCTCAAGGCAGGGCTGCGGCAGGCATTGAGGATTTTAGTTGCAGCAGGAGCTGTCGAAGTGGGTACACATCGAAGTGATGGGCAGAGGATCAAATGCAGAGGGATCAAAAAAGAGGATCTGGAGGAATTTTTGGACACAGTTTATGCAACTGCAGGGCCACTGTCACTGGCAGAGGACTGGATGCTGTACACCTCAGCCCATCAAATGGGGAGCTGCAGGATGGGGATTAATAAAAAAGAAGGCGCTGTTGACGAGAACGGAGAGAGTTGGGAAGCAGAGGGCCTATTTATTTGCGATGCTAGTGTTTTGCCAAGTGCTGTTGGTGTTAATCCTATGATCACAATCCAGTCCACTGCTTACTGTCTGTCCAAGAAAATTGCAGAGTCATTACGCAGAGATTAAAGAACAGTCCTCAAGAGCTTAGAGAATCCTGTTAATCTTGTCTGATTTGTTTTTATTCAAAGTGAAGGAAGAAACAGAAGAAATTAAAAGACTGCAAGGATAAGAATACTAAGATGCTGCAGACAAGGGATAATTGATTACTATGATTTGATAAACATCCTTACAATAAAATCTGAAAGCTAATAGAAAAGAAAAGTAATTTGGACTTATGGCAATCCTTGAGCAATCTTCAACCCTCCTTGTTTTAGGAACTGCAAATTCCAATCTTCTATCTTAGAAGCTTCAACTTGTTTACTCGAAATGATTTTGTAAATAAGTTTGCTAAATGATGTGCTCTTTTTATCCTTCCTCTTTGCTATTGAAATTGTTATGATTCTTAAGCTAATTAGGAGTCTTTATAGTGTTAAATTTTTTTTTTTTTCATATAGTTTTTAAGGTTAGATAAATCCCTCAAAAGTTGCACTACAAAAAATAATTTTGCTGCTGTTGTAATTTTTTGTTTCAACTTAGGCCTTGATTCTGACTTGGTTTTGTGAAATATCTAACCATCACAACTATATTATGTCACTCATGACATGTTGAGAAATTGACCTACAACTTTATTGAGTTCGAGGGCTCACTATTCTTATAGCAGACTCTCAATCAAATTGGAATGCTTGACATTATTAGTTTCTTGAATTATATCAGGAAATTCTTTTTGACCAACCAGATTGCAGCTAAATTATATTTTTCAAAACGAATTTATCTCATTTTGAATCCTTCATGAAAGTTATAGTCCTATACACATAGATGAATTTGAGTTTTTGAATTGCTTGATTTCAATATCAAAAGCTCAAAATATTCCCGTTTGAATATCTAAATATGAAAGCAAAGAATCCTGCTGCGAGAAGGATTCTAACCCGAGTTTTGCACTAAAAACTCTGCTTCCATCACAATTTTATTGGTAGTTATTATTAGGTTATACTCTCAGTCATATCGAGATATTCGACATTGTCAGTTTTTGAATCAGATCAAGAGACCTTTTTTTACCAACCAGATTGCTGCTAGATTCTGTTCTTTAAAATGATTTTATCTCACTTCAAATCCTTAATGAAAGTTGTAGTCCTATATGTGTAGATGAATTTGAGTTTTTGAGCTGCCTGATTTCAATATCAAAAGTTCAAAATATTCACGCTTGAATATCTAGTGTGAAAGCAAAAATTCTGCTGTGAGAAGGATTTTGTCCCCAAGTTTGCAGGACTGAATTTAAAAAGACTGAAATAAGTGAGTTAATTGCAAATAAAAATTGGAAGAAACTTGGCTGGGTTTGGAAGAAATAGAAAATGAGGATAAGATCATAAAATGACTGAAATTCAGCCACGATGAGTTACATTTCTGCTACTTTTCAAACAACAAACGACACTGTCTCTCTTTTACATTAATTCTCATCTTTAGCTAGACGGTGCTGTATGAGAACAGGCCTATCCTAGAAATACAATTAACATGGTACTGTACCACCGTCTGCTTTCCTTTTCCCTCCTCTACAACCGTTGTTATTTTTTTTTCATTTCTCCCGTCCTTGCATTGTACAAGATAGCCCCCCCCTCCTTTTTTAGGCTAGGATGGCAGCTGCGAGAGGGAATGGTTTTGTACCTCACAGTGCCAGCTGGGGAAGAGGACGCAGAGGGAGCCTCGACATCATCTAATGGTTGGAATTCTATCCCTAACAGAGACGGTTGGGATGAGAGGGTGTTAGGTTAGTCTCCAAGTGTTTTTGCTCGGCTATATAAACGAGCTATTGGAGAGAAAAAAAAATAGAGAGAGTAGAGGGAGATGGAGAGAGTTTAAACACAGAGAGAAAAAGAAAAGACAGAGGAGAAAAGGAAAAACAGAGAGAACAAGGATGAGGCTGAGGGTAAGAGAATAGAGAAACAACAGGAACGAGAAGGGATTATCTTGAGTCTATCCTACCTTGCCTAACAGGGGTTTACAAAAACTCTAAGAGGGTTTTTTGAAAAAGCTCCTAACAACAAAAAGAAGAAGGCTTTCTTTGGTTATTAGAGGTAAAAAGGCAGAAGCTTTTCCATTAGTTTGTATATCATATTCTGCATTCAAAATGTGTAGGATCCGCAGGTATGAGTTTTGACTTTCTTTTTCTTTAACATATGTAAAACTGTTTGTTTGGTTTTGTTTCTTTTCAAAATCTGTTTCTGCTTCTGTTTTGGAACATTCATTTTCTATCTTGGCAACAACATTGTATGCTTGCCTACTATTATTCCCATGTCTTTGAGTTTAGATTATTATTTATGTTAGATCTATATTTTTTTTGCTTTTTTGTTGTGAGGAACTGTGAACTTTAAAGATCTTCATTATTCTTCCATTCTTTTGTTTGAATGTCTCTCTGCGTTAAAATGTTGCATATGATGAGTTTGGCTCCTGAATAAAGCTCTGTCAAGATGGAAAACAAAAAAAAAACAAGAGAAGGTCCTCTTCATTTGAGGTGATACTTCGGCTAGTTCTAGAGTATGTTTTCCTTTCTGTTTCTTTGAAATTGAAATAGCTGGCCATTTGATTTGTTGGTTTTGTTTTTTGTATCTTTGATAAACATGATATAAAGGCACACTCTTTAAGTTCTTTCCTTTTAGTATGAAACAACCATGGTAATGTCAGAGATTAGAAAAAATGGTGGGCAGGAGCAACATTTTTTGTTATAGATTTGGTTTTCAAATGTTTAGCTTTCATGTGTATATAACTTACTCCTTTCTGTTGAAAAATGATGGGTCATGTTATGTTAACATTCTTGTTATATTGTTGTGAGTGACCATAGGTTTTCAAGGTCTTCATCATCCATACCTTCATTTGCTTGAACGTCTCCTTGCAATGGAACATTGCCTAGGGATAGTTGTGGCTTATATGTGTAGAAGAAAAGGGGAAAAACATGAAGAAGGGTCTTTTAATTAAGGGACCTTATTTTTTCGGCTGGTTCTGGGTTCATGCTTTCTTCTCTATTTTTGTGAAAATGAGATATCATACACTTTGTTTTTTTTTTTTTAGTCTTAGCATGTAATATGCTATCTTTCTTGTCGTGTGAAACGAGCATGATATTTGTTTCAAGATCAAGAAAAGGAGGGGTGGTGGGTCACAACTTCTGTTATAGGTTTTAGTTTCATAATTGTTTTTTTGGTGCATGTGAAAATGTGCTTTTCTTTTAAGAAAAATGGACAGATTTGTATTGAGGCTTCAAGTTTAAGTTGGTATGCTAGGTCTATTTGAATTATTTTAAGCTTCCTTGAATTTTAGAATACATATATGTATGGTTTATTTTTTATTTTATAGCAATACTTGGTTTAATTGGGATGTTTGTGTTTTGAAAAGAATATAAATTTTTTTATGTTGCACATAGCTAATACTTTAACATATTTTGAATATTTTTTTAAAAAAAATATTCAAAGTTAAAAAAATATTTTAGCATGTATTTTTTAAATATAAAAAATTATTTTCATGCACTTTGAATTTTACAACATGTTTGTAAATTCCAAAGGGTATTAGCCAATATTCCAAAAATATAAAAATTTTATTTTTAGAGAATTCATCTTTATTCACCATTTATAGTTGGATAAAGAAATCTCAACGGGATTAATATCCAAAATATTATTGGAAATAATTTTTTTATTCACAATTAATATTTAGATTAAAAAAATCCAAAAAGAGTTAATATCCAAAATATTATTGAGAATAATTTGCTTTTATTCACTGTTAATATTTGGATTAAAAAACCTCTAATGATTAATATCCAAAATACTTTTTTAGGAATAATAAATTATTATCCCTTAATAATATAAGGGCAAAGAAACCTATGAAAGGTAAACATCTGAAATATTGTTATGAGTAATCTAACTTGTTGATTCCATGGTTTATAAGTTGTGAATGTATGAAATACTAAGGTAAAAATAGGCTTTTAAAGCACTTTGAATTTCCTTGGATTTCTAACTTAGTTTTTTTTTATTATTATTTCTTTTCCTTGTGATTTACGAGTCGCAAATGCTTAAAATACTTTATAGGCATATCTAAAGGTATGATCAATATTGACCAAATGATCTAAAGGTATGATCAATATTGACCAAATTTTTTTTTTTTTTTGGACTTTGAACTCAAGTTTATTCATTATAGCAAACTTATCATAGAAAGACTGACTAAAGAACACCAAGACAATAGCAATTATAAGGCGAACCAAATACCAAATAGCTTACCTTAAGTAGGGCATACTAGGGATGCCAAAACCTTTATTTTGCGCAACTAGTCTCTTGTCTTATAATCTCTAAAAGACCAATTAGGTTTTCTAATGACCAAAATATTATATGACAACTTTCTTTTTCACAAAACAAAAACACCAGCAATTATCCCTCGCTTCGTGAAGGGTTGCTGCGATGGCGCGCTCTTGAGAGGGTACGATAATGAGTGGCCTCAAATAAGTTTTTTTTTAAAACCAGAGCTTAGCAAATGATCATTTATCCTGCTATATCAGGCTCTAGATGCTTGCTTTAGTATATAAAGAGTCTTTTTTAACAAGTAGACTCTATCTTATTCACCTTGAATCATAAATCCTTCTGGCTGCTCCATATATAATTCTTCTTATATAACACCATTTATATATGCTGATTTAACATTTGTTTGGAACACTTTTCAACTATTATGTGCTTTGTTTTATCCAATTTAGCAATAGAAGGAAAAGTGTTAGAGTAATCAACACCAAAAATCTAAGCATACCTTTTAACTACTAGCTTGCCCTTGTGCTTATTGATTGAATTGTCTGTATTTAGTTTAGTTTTACACACTTACTTCACTTTAATGACTTTTTGTCTTCATTTCAACTAATTTCCAAGTATTATTCTTTTGAATCAGATATCTACTCCTTTTTTTGTGCCTTTTGTGGTCTTTGAGAGCTTCTTCATATCTAACAAAGTCATAAATTGCCACATGAAATCTTTGATAAATGTTTAAAAGTGACTTTGTGTCTTTGATTGGAGGATCATTATCTAGTTCATTCTGCTATTAAGGTGTTGTTTGATCTTTAAAAAGATTGTTCTTTTAAGAATCCTTCAAGTCTCATTGCTCATGTTCATTCAACTTTATAGCTCTTGTAATAATCATCTTTTATTTATAAATGATATACTTTATAGGTTTTAGAGGCTGAACTGTAGCGTATAAAGATGTCAAAAATTGCTTTCTTATCAAGTTTTTCATGCTTAAATTATGGAATATGAGCAAAACACACACTACCAAATATTTTAAGAAAACGTAGTAAATGTTTATATCCACACCAAGCTTCAAATGATATTTTATATTTCAAAAACTTTGTTGTAATTCAATTTTAAAGAAAAATTATTGTATTAACTGTCTCTGCCTAAAAATCATTTGGCAACTCCTTCTCGTGTAACATATATCTAACCATCTCCATTATATATTTGTTTCTTCTTTAATTGATTTTATTTTGTTTTGGAGTGCAAGGAGCAGTGTTTTCATGCTCAATACCAACATCTTGATAAAACAAATTAAATTTTGTTGAGGTGTACCTTTTTCCCTTATCTGAACTTATAACTTAAATTTTGCAGCAACTTTGATTTTCTATCATTTTCTTTCACTTTCATATAACTTTAGCCACTTCTAACTAGACTTTCAAGAGAAAAATCTTGTACATTCTTTTGCCTTTGACTTCGTGGTTTTTCTTCTCTTATGACTTTTGATCTAAGTCATGGTTAGATTGTTTGGGGAGGAACTTCATAATCCTTTTCCACAACTTCCCATAGAATTAAGGCTTTCATGTATCTCCATTTTCACTCCCAAAGCTTTCTTAAACTTCTAGAAAATTCTAGCCACTTCTAACTTGAATTTCAAGAGAAAAATCCATTACATCTACCTTTGACTTCCTGGTTTTTCTTTCCTTATAACTTTTGATATAAGTTATGGTTGGATTGTTTGACAATTGAGAAACTTCACAATCCTCTTCCACAACTTTCCATAGATCTAACACCTTCATATATCTTTATTTTCGCTCCCAAAACTGGCAGTTTTCTCCATCGAAGACAAGAGGAGCAATTTGAGAAAAGCTGGTTTTAACTTCCATCATAGGTCCTTCAAAAGAAAGCTATGATACCAATTGATGATTTTTTTTCCGAAGTGAAGGAAGAAACACAAGATATTTAGAAAATGCAAGGATAAAAATACTAATTTGCAACAAACAAGGGATAATTGATTACTATTATTATTTAATAAACATCCTTACAATTAAATAATAGTAGAAGAATGAAATGCTAACTAATAGCCGCAAATCATGTAATGATCTGCCAGCAAGATAACAACTTCTAAAAACTAGGACAACTTTATTGGCTAGAAACAAAAAATATGAAGCTCATAGGAAAGAAAAGTAACATGGACTTATGGTAGTCCTAAGCAATCTTCAATATTTTCCAAAAAATTAATTTGTTTCAGTAGGAATTAATTTTTTTTAAAAAAAACATGATTCATAATGTTAATACGAATTTCTCCAACCCAAGCTTTTCTTTTGCGTCTCCATTTCTGACGTTGCGTGTCTTGAAAAATGCCTTCAATTTTAAGGTCTTGACAAGTTGATAACCCCTTTGCATGCCATTTCCATGGCATATAGAGCAAATGAAATTAAAACTGAAATGCCCTAGATTACATACAAGTGCAAATCCGCAATATGATAGATTATTACTAATTACTGGTGCTAAAATTGACTGTAAGATTTCTCATCGGGTGCTTTTTCTATTTTTTTTGTTTGTTGCTATTTGATAGAAACAGATGTAAATTAATTCTACCCTGATTATGTTTTCTAGCATTCAAGTTTGCCATCTGCTTTCTTTTTTTTATCTTCAACATGCTTATAATTCATTTGGTGTCTCTCTTTTATCTTCAAAATGCTTAAAATTCATTTAAAAAACTAATTTAACTCAAAAATTTAAATTATTAGTTAAACTTCAAAGAATAGTTCAATATTATATTTTAATATACTTTCTCAATTGAAAACTATCAATCTAAAAATTAAAATTATTAGATAAGTGGTGATGAAATTTGAATTCAAAATCGTTTAGCCATTAAAACTTTAATATTATATTAAAAAATTTAATATAAAAACTTAAATTTTTAGATGGTTTCAATAATAGTTCTCAAACATCCACTTCATTCAATTCAATGCAACTATTTGTTATACCATGCAAAAATTTTATTGAAAGGACAGCGAAATTTTTTCAAATTTTTTGGTAGTTTCATTCATATAATCCAATCGAAGTTAGAATTCCCAAACATTGTACAAGATAATACAAAGTAAACTTGATGTTCGCTTTCTTCATTACACTCAGAGCTTTACAATAGCAGAATCAACTGGATCTGTGCAGAAGGGCAAGGATACTCGCACATTTTCTTATAAGATACGGATTCCATATATGTCATCATAAGAAGTACTGAATATGGCCCATTTATGTCATTATGTCCGCCTTCCAGGGACTTCATCTGGAATGAACTTGCACGGGAACTCTATACATTTTGATGGAAGAACATCTCAGCCATCAGAATCAGTGTCGCGGAATGGCAGGGGAACTGCCTTCACTGCCCTGAACTTTCCAACATTATTCAGATGTTCATTCTCCAACCTGTTTCGGCACAATCTGACGAATATTAGAAGATTGGAATTTTTCGTCTCCATAGATCACAAAGTTCTTGTCATCAACATTCCTAAGTTATTTGAGGTTGAAATAAAATGTACCTGTAAAAATTCCAATGGCCACGTCGAATTACCTCCAAAGAAGCCAAGAAAAAATCTAACATACGTGACTCAACCATATTGAAGCGGAACCCCATGACAGTCTCCACCCAAGCAACTCTAAGAACTATGTTCAGGGCCTGCAATTCAACTTCTCAATCTGTTAACTTCCATACTTAAACTTTTGAAAGGAAGGACTTGCAGGATTTAAATGGAGGGAGAACTCACGATGGACATGTAATAGACGCTTTTGTTCTTTAGAATCAAATCATCTCTTAGCCACAGATTCTTGGATTTAGAGTTGAGAAGTCCCCAGTCCTTAACAAAATCCCAGTACAATTGATATATGGTAGCAAACACAGAAGTAACCAGGACTATACCTAACCATAGGTGGTTCTCCTGATTAGCGTAAGTAAGCCTCGCACCGGCTGCCACCATGGCAGAAACGTACTTCCCCATGTTAGCCAAATGGTTCAGGTCACTTTCATCAAACCATCTTCTTGCACACTTTCATTAACAGAAAAATGTATTAATTGGAGCCATAAAAAAAGTTGGTTATGAGTAACTAAAAGTTAAATAATTTTTCATTATCCAATAAAAAATGTGTTAATTGGAGAAAAAAAAGTAAGGGGTATATATTATACCTGCATAGCACGCCAATAGTAAGGCAAAAATGAAATGACATAAGCAAGCTCCCTGTATAGCCTTCCGGAGTTGCAGGTTTCATATCTATGAGTCTTGAAACTCCCAGCTATAAAGTAACAAGCTGTGGATTCCATGTACCTCATTAATGGAATCTGTATGAAAATCAAAACGAGGATTATCCGGGCTGCAAACTAATAGAAATCAAGAGAGAAGAAAACATAGAAGGCTTCAAGCAGTAAGTTATATGCTAATAAGAGGAATCACCTGGCTAGTAAGCTGGTCTGCCATGAAAAAGTCGACCATCAAAACCTGCATATATGGTGTTTCAATCAAGCAAGCCAAAAAACAGAATTTTGCGTTATTACACTGAAAAGTTTTTATAATGTTCAACAAAATAAGCAAGCATACCTTGTAAAATGGAGAGCAGACTGTGTTTCTTATAGTACGGACGAAGCAATAACGTGTTGGGCGATAGAAGATGTCAAATGGGCAAATGAGCACGAAAACAAAAATCTGAGAAATGTGTTCGGTTATCAGCATCAATCTCTAGTTTGGTATCACATCAATGATTTCTACTTTTGCAAACATTCAATGCTGGTGCATACAGACTAGTAGGAAAACTTAAAACAGGAACCAGTAACACTTACAACGAGGAGAATCCCAGGAATGGCATCAACATGGTTTGGCGAAAAACCACTAGCTCTTAAGAGAAGATGGATTACCATTGCCGCAACCACCGAGGTCATGAAGGTGGTGCAAATGAGAAAGGCGTCTCTGTACTTGAGGGCTGTGCTGGGTTGGAATTCAAAAATGAAGTTGTAGTTGATCCTTGTTCCCTTCCACATGAAGAGGTTGCACCCATACATAAACAAGTGCAAACTTAACAAGGCAAAGACACTGCATGATCACATTTGGTTCATCAATTGCGTTGTTGCTTACAATGTGCGTTCTCCTACTTAATAAATCCTTCAGTTCTTGTCAATCCAGTTACAAGGAATGCCTTTTTAGTCACCAAGTCCATTAAAACATAACAAGTGCTTCCAATTCTTTGCCAAACATTTTTTTGTTAAAAAGATTCTAGAGTAAATGGGCTGCTAATTGCAACATTAGTACATAATTTACGATTTTTTTTGTCAAATCGATCTGCAAGTTTTAAGTTAAAAATCATGTAGACAATGTATGTGAAGAATTACTAGGTGGATTAAAGATTATGTTTATAATAGTCACCTGAAAACAGGGTAGACAGTTTCCACATATGATCTCTCAGAATTTGGCCTAAAAATACCAGATAAGTGAGCCAAGATTGCGTATACACTGAACAGTGATACAAAACAGCCAGTAAATAATCCTGCAATAAGCAAAAACAAAAAGGGAAATCTTCAATTGATGAACACAAACAGAATTTTCCTGACACCACCAGCCTCACTGGTTGATGAGTCCCTCTAAATGCACTAACAAGCATGAATGAGGGTTAATTCTACTAATGGGATTAGTGGCCAGCACTCTATGTTGTCCATTACAGAAGGTGATTTTTCTGTCATTAGTTAAGAAAGCAGAGATGTTACATAATCTTGTTCCGTTTATATCTTGCAGTGTGATTAGTCGTATTGGACCAATCATGGAAGAGAATGCTTAGACTGATATTTTTTTTTTTACATGCTAAAAAAGCCAAGGATATAACCTGAGCCCAAAACCATTCCGTATCCAAAGTCAAATCTCACAACTTGTATTAACCCTTGGGGGCTATTCTCTTCTCATTTATTTTTACCTCGGGAGAAATGATTTTTTCTCCATATTTCTTTGCCAAATGCACTAAATTAAACGTATAGTGATGAATATTGCTCTCAAATATTAATGATCCAGTATAAGAGAGGAAGGGAGAGGGAAAGACTAGTTACCAACAAAAAAAGTGACCATGTGAGACTCTCTTTGTCTCTGGGGTCTCAGGAACTTCATAGCCCTTTTCCTGTCATTGTTGGCGAAGTGCTTTGTGAATATGGACTCCACATCATCCATTAGCCTAACAACCTAATCAACAAAGTATATTATTACCCATAATGCTTATTAGAAAACCATTAATCCCACTCTCCAAATGTAATTAATTAAAACCAGTAAACAAAATGCAAATAACATAATTGTGGAGATCAGCTAACCGCAAGATGGCACAGACATTAATTTTGACATGGACAGACATTTGTTAGTGGTAGAAGAATTAGGAACCAAAGCATGATCACGTGCAATCGATCAAAGGATGCAAGAGCACCAGACGCACAACAAGGCATCTTATTACCTTATCGGAGCTAATAAAGTGGGATCTCTTCACTACTGTTAAGTAACTTGCCGATGCCTGCTGATTGGATACCTGTTTATGTATAAAATATCCCAGTTTTAATTCTATAAACACCAATAGAAGTTTATGCAAATGACATATAGAGTAGGAAAATCTTAAAATTGCATCACTAATATATTTAAAATTATAATAGTGGTTGAGGTTTAAAATGTTTTTTATTTAAAAATATATTAAAATAATATTTTTATATTTTTTAAAATTAGCATATCAAAATTAAAATGATAATAAAACATAAAAGAATAATTCTTATTAAAAAAATAAATTAAAACGGACATGAAGTCCAGCCCGCTACCTTAATTCTTCAAAAAGAACTCCAATCCCTCTTATCATCAATCACATCATCAAGACTATTTTAAATCATGGGATGAGATAGGTAAATTGGTCGTGTTTGATTCTAGGTTGGCTTCTTTGTTGGTCTCACATTCTTCATGTGAGGAACATATATATTGATGTTTTTGTCTCCAACTCAAAGTTAGAAAAGGTTTGCTTTCACAAGATGCAAATATTCTTAATTTCTGAAACTGAACCGATGTGTATGCATCCTCGCGGTTTCCTTGCAGGGATGATTTCATTATTATTAGAACAAATTAAATTATATAATAATCTTCTATCAATTAAACATTAAAAATAAAGGTTTTTCTTGCGTTAGCTAGAAACAGAATTAAAAAGAAATAAAATACAATTCATTATAATAATATCCGCATATCTGGCTTCCAAATATACAGTACTTAATTTTTAGTACAGATTAGAAATGAATTAGATACTTTAATTCACTTGTTAAGGCTTTTGATAATGGAAACGATAGTGGTTAATTCCCCCTCTTTGGGCTTCTTTTTCTGATTTTGTATAGGGCTCTACCCTGTTTAGTTGATTTTGATCATTATAATTTTTCATTCATAAAAAAGAAAAAAGAAAAAAGAAAAAAGAAATGAGCTCAGATAATATTATAACCAACTGATGGAAAATATATTTCGATCTCTTCCTTCCATGACCAATCATAGTGCCAACATGTGTACTGAAAAGGCTGAGTGGGACCACCTTACCTTGTCGAATTTCTTCAATATTTTCGTGAAGGCCACCATATTCAGTGAGCTGCCAACAATAGGCAAACACATATGTTAGATATTTCATGACACGAAAATCCTTGGAAGTTGCAAGTCTCTCTCTCTCTCTCCGTGCATATTTTAATAATTGAGATTTTATAAATATAATCAATTGAAAATATTTTATACACGACAGTCCATGCATGGAGGATTTTAGCAGCGCGAATACTTGATCATTTGGTCAGGAATACATATTGGAGTAGGAATTAACCTGTACGTTTTAAGTAGACCAAGGCCTCTATAGAGCTCCACAAATGCACCTCTAATCATCTTCTCAGCACACTGGATCTTCTTTCTATTAATGAAATCACCGGCACCTTCTTTTTTAGGATTATTGACCAAATCTTCCCACAACATCGATGTTACGGCTGTGATTGTTCGTGTTGGTGTCGTAGCCGGAATGTCAATCCTCATTGCCATCTTATGTTTCCCTTTCTTTGTTTTTGTTCTTGTCGCCGAGTTGATGAAATTGATACCATTTTTCTCTAGTGCTGCGATGATTTCATCAGTTTGTGAATCTGTTGAGATCTCATTTGATTCACTTGCACTCTCTGCATGCATGATTGCAATATCAGAAACACGTACTATGCACACAAACAAATAGATATTGCTCATAAAAGCAAGCTAATTTGCAAGGAGCTAGCACATACACTCGTATGCAAAATTAATCCTAGGCCTTATTGGAAATTTGCTTCTCGTCTTGTCACTCTCTCTCGTATGCTAAAAGCCCAAAAGTTAGAGATTCAACTTCGTGTGTAAACGGTCTAATGAGTGTAGAATTTTTACGAAACTGATTTAATTTGTGAAGATGTGATGGGTCGTAGCTAGATGTTGGGCTGATAAGATTAGGGACACCAATTTCTATGGACAGCTAGAAAACTGCTGTCCTCTTATCTTATATCATTATCTTCCACCATTTCTATCCATCAAAGCTTTCCACATGAACATTTCTATCCATCTACTCCTATCAAACTAGATTCGCTAAGCATCAAACATCAATAAAATCTTTCTTTTTAGAAACATGTCATCTGATATGGTATTCCGTGCACAAGATTATCATCAGAAAACATGCCACTACAACACACTAATTTTTATTTTTTTTCATCCAATATTTTCTCTTCTTTCGTGTGTTCTGATCGAGTCTTGCCAAATTTCTGTTTACAATCTCCATTATTTTTTTAGCTTTTGTTTTAATGCATTAATTACTAGTGTTAGATGACTCCCTCTCTTCCCATCTCTGGAAAAGTGTTCTATGGACCGTAGTTTGACAATCGTGAATTAAACAAGAGATATATTTCTGATGTGTGATCTCATACCCTCCAAGAACCATATTGTAAGAACAGTAACTACTTAATTATCAGAAATATAGATATCTTTTGCATCAAGGAAAATTCAAAATAGAATAACATTTGAAAGGAATTAATTTGTACGTTTTTTCTACTTATTCCTTGTGCATGAAATGGGATTCCCCCCCCCCCCCAATTTGGACTGTGCATATAGTCTATATAATATAGATACGGATGCCATACGACAATAAGCATCATAGAAACATTTGACAAACAATTCAAAGATTCCACGTAAGACAACTAGATAGAATCAACACATCTCTTTCTGAAATCATTCACATCATGGCATGACATCATACAACCATTAGTTTTAGTTTAATCAAATTGGGCACCCAAAAAACGCGTCCAACCAGTTAATACGTTCGTGTTTTATATGTGTTCTCATTACTTAAAACAAAAACAAAGAATAAATAAAAACATATAAATTGTTTAGATGTATTTACTGATTTTTTTTCTTCATAATAATGAGATATTATTGATGGAACAGTCTATTATATATTAAAGCTCTAATAAATTAAGATTCAAAATATTAAAAGATGTTAAAAAAAAAAGAATTGACAAATTCCTAAATTAAGAACATTTCACTTATTAGTTCATAATAAAATACCATTAAGACCTCTATTTAAAACATGCCCGTAAAATTACTGATTTTATGTTAAGAAAAGAGAAGGAAGTCCTAACCAGAAAAATCAGAGTTCCGAGGTGAAGATGACCAGGAACGAGAAAGAACCCCGGCGTTCGGCTTACGGCGGCGTTCATTGAGGATCCGTTTGAGGTCCAGTAAAATCTCTAGCTGCTTGTTTAGAATCTCTCCTCTTTCAAGAAACTCACTCTCTTTGGTCTTGTAAAACTGGTTCACTTTATTTAGCTCCTCATCCAATCCCTCAAAAAACACCCTCACCTAAAATATGAAGACAAAGAAATCAGAAGCCCTAAATGTGTCTCTCCCCCTCATAATTGTAAGGAACATCATAGAATAAATTAGTAAAATTAATCCACTTATTTTATTTTATTTTAAAAAGTAAAACCTAGTAAGTAACAAGTGTTTTATAGCATATTCTGAGGTCATGCGACTATTTAATATATACCTCATCTTCTTCTGAGAACAATTGAACAAGCTCAGTTTGGTACACTCATCACCATCCTCCATTCTCCTGCTCTTTACCTGTAACCAACGAAAAATATATACTAAACAACCTCCTTGCCTTTTGCTGAACCTTTTCTTTTAGTTTATATTTTTATCGGAGTCCCTGTTCTTCTCTACGTTTTTCACAATAATATCGTGACATTGAGCACCCTATATAACCGTTTCCTTGATTTCGTGAGAGAATGGATAAATTACCAAAACTAGATGAAAAAAATAATACAAAAAGAAGCCTCACTTGCTGGATTATAACAACATTTCCTCGAGTCCCATGTATCATCATTAAAGTGTTTAGTGGAGGAATAGAAGAGCTTCCACTTATGCAATAGCTAGAGAAATTAATTAAATATTTAATTTAGCGGAGAGAATTGTATGACTTCTACATCTGTAAAACAATAGGTTTGTGACTTCAAAAGAACGGCGACAGATGCTGTAATAAAGATGCCTGACCCATTCATTCAACGTTGGGTGTCGACTACAGGGAACTCTTAAAATAAGAGAACAGCAAAAATACCCTAAATAAAACCAAAAACCACCTGGAGTTCTGTAGAGAAAGCCATTATTTTCTGGTACGATGGTGCGTCAGCATGGACTGAAAGCGGACGAGGAACAAAAACAGAGGATATATACCCAGAAATGATGAAAACCGAAAGGCGGAGGAATTTATGTATCGGCGCATGTATCTATACATCCGAAAACCTGATACTTTATGGGTGTAAAATTGATGCCCCGCTGCTCTGAAAAAAAATGATTTTTTTTTAATTTTAAATTGTTTTTAATATGTCGGTGTTGAATATAAATTTTTAAAAATAAAAAATATATATTATTTTAATACTAATTTAAATAAAAATATTTTTAAAAATAATTACTACCACAATTAGATAAAATTGCGCCATAATATTAGCCTCACAAAACAAACACAAAAATCTAATCGAAATACTCCAATTTCTAGGTGTGTGAACTTACCGGGAAAGCCAATTGATGGCCAAAATCCCATCTTAACTATTCATGTACCCAAAAAAACCCAACTTCACCCAAATGAAGATGGAAGACTACACGTTAAGACATGAATAATACATACACCAATGTGCACATGATGTACGTGTGTGTTCATATATATGCATGTATGTAGATGTTAAGTTGACAAGTACCTGAATGATTTCGGTCATGGTATCAGAGTGGAAGAGCTTGCTGGATATATTATTGGCGAGGGAGCGAATGGGATCAAAAATCGAGAGACCATATTCATGATCAAGAACATGGTGGGGATGTGCGGGTTTTTGTGAGAGCTTGATCTTCTTTATCTGTTTTTTGAGTTGCCAGTAGTTTACAAAGGCGTCCTTCCATTCTGGGATTAGTTGAGCTTCAAGCTCCTTTGAAAACTTCACCATTTTCTTCTTTCTAAATGGAAAGGAATTGTTGAGAGAAAGATAGGAAGAAGAAGAAGAAGGAGAGAAGAGGCCCTTAGAGGGTGTGAGTGGGATTGGGGAGGTTTATATATATAGAAAGAGGGAAAGATAGAAACGTAGGGGGGACTGAAGTGAGGTCGTTTGTTAGTATTCACGGACACCATGGCAATCTTTTCTTGCACGCTTAAGTTAGGTAGCTAGAAGTGAAAATTGGAAAATAAAAATTAAATAAGTTTTCAGTGTATTCAAAGGTAAAAATAATGGGCATTTGTATTAAAAATAAATAAATATGCAATTGTATTATTGTCTACAAAACATTGCTTGTTTGATATATTGTGGTTCATGATGCTTTTAAAAAATATTTTTCAATTGAAAATATATTAAAATTAATTATAATTTTTTTATTTTTAACATCACCAAATCAAAATCATAAAAAACACTAAAAAAATCAATTTGATATCTTTTAAATAAAATACATTAAAAAAATAAAAATTACCACACTTCTTAAACACTCACAACTAATCCTATGTTAATCCTAATTTGACTAAGAACTAGATGGTTAACCCACAACAATGTGTGTGTGTGTGGGGTTCACAAAACAAGACTAAAATTATTAAGATATATTTTAGACAAAATTATACTCAACAATATTAAAATCAATTTATGTAGTACCTAGAAAAATTATCAGTAACCCTAAATATCAATAGATGAAGGAATCGATCGGTAAAAAAGCAGGCCGACAGAATATCAAATACAACAAAGAATTAAATCTAACAGTAATATATCTAACAATTTCAAATATTTTTATTGTATAGTGGAAGAATCAGTACAGAGAAAATCAATCTTATCAAACAAGAAATATTAAATTATATATGCTTCTTATTTCATGTAATCTGTATATTAATATACGCACAATTAATCTCATTTATCTCATGTTCTAAACTCACACTATTTTATCTAATTTATGTATTAAATACGCTCACATTAATCTCATGCTTCAAAACTCCCTTAGTTGAATTTCCTCAATATATAACATGAGACATTAATTAAAAATTAATCTCTTTAAAATTGACATTACACAAATATAGTTTACATGGACTAAATCTAAGCATTATTAATTAGAATCTCATCCATTTTCATTATAAAAAATAAAAGAAGATATGATACTCTTGTCTGGTTGATTATAGAAATGAGGAATTGAGCTCATAAATTCGGGTATTAAGTTATTAATTATTTCTTTAAAGAAAATAATTTAAAAACAAACTTTTATGTAGCATTACTCTTAATTTTTTATGCTTATATCCTATACACACAGAGAAATTGAGAGGAAAACAATTCACATAAATGCACCAGTTATAGATAACTCGTCTATGATTAGATTAAATTTTTTTAAAAAAACTTAATTTTAACACGTAAAAAATTGATTCAAAAATATTTTAAAAATTTTAAATTTCATTTGAAGGATGCAGCTAGATTAAATCAGAGAAAATGATGTAAATAAAGCTAAAAAAACAAGTTAAATCCCAAAATTTGAGATACCAGGACCGTAAAAAAAAGGTTTGGTGGTTTGTTTCCACTACGAATCACGATGACAGAATCATTAAAATAGTACTGTTTTATCAAAAGAAAGAAAAGAAACTCGGTGCTCTATATACCATTATATTTTCTTTTTCACTTGTTTAAAATATGGAATTTATTATAATATATTACCATTATAATCGATGCATTATATTCCCCTTATGCGAGGGGTTGGCTATGCTGGAAAAAACTTTATTAATTGTCTTATATAGATGTCACATCAATTAGTAAATAGTAGTAATTAATGACACTAACACTACATTTATTTTACTATTACTATTTAATTGATGTTATATAACACTTTAAAGTTTTCTTTTTAGAAAAGCCCATCGACGAAGCTACCCCTCACTGTCCGGTCTCAAGATAGGGGCTTCATAATGTGTTGTATTATATTGGGGTTTTTTTCGGTTAAAAATTAAATTAAATAATGTTAAAATAATATTGATTTTTTTAAAAAAATAAAAAGATTATAAAAAATAAGTGCGAATCTTAAAACTCAAAATATAGCTTGGATATAAGTACATCTTCTCCATAAATAGGAATCAAAATATAATTTTTGCATGGAATCTCGTGACTAAATTCATATTCAATATTAAAGGTATGCACTTTAATAGATGCTAGCTACAAGATAACAGGAAAGTTCAATTTGACTTTCTAATAGCTCAACACAGAAGATATGGATAATTAGCATGATAATGTGATATAGCATGCGATTGATCATCAAAACATAGCTAAGATGAGCGGTAACAGTGGTTCTGCCATTAAGGAACTAGCTTATTCTAATTTCTTCATTAAAATATAAACAATGGGGTCTTGAAAACTTGAACTTGGCACCCATCATCAACGTCATTCGTGATCGGTTAATTGGGCTCAAGATCATTTTTCTTTAATTTAGTATCGGCTAATTAATCCAAAAAAAAATGTAGAATAATTCCGAGTGCAGTAACCAGCATCAGGTGCAGATCGTTTGATCTCCAGTATAATTAGTTGCTGGATTATTTTTTTGGAATTCAAGGAAACCTTAATTTTTAGAAAGTATATTTTATGAATTTAGATAAATAAGTAAATTTCAGTTGTTTCAGATTTTTACAAAAAATACATATTTTAACTCAAATTTGAAATCTGTCTCAAACCCTTTAATATCATACTACCTTTTGAAGCTAAATTCTCGTAATAAGAAAAATTCTTCATGCTACTCATATATAATTACAAAGCATCTAAGTAATTAGTGGGATTAACATTTTTTTTTTTGGGTTTCTTTACTGTAAGTTTTTTCTTAGTAGAAATTTTAATAACATTCTTCCTCAATTACTATTAAGAAAATATATAATTGGAGGTCTTTTATCATTTTGAATCGCGCCTGATGGTATGGCGAGCAACAAACCAACCAGTGGCTCTTTCAGTGCGTTTAAAACACGTGGATAGATTCTTTGCCAGAATATACACTCAGCTTTGCCAACTGGGAAATGAACGGGGGCCTTGTAGGATTTGAAGAGCACTGTTGAGAAGTTGTTTTGTACAGTGCAAGGGACAAAAACAATGGTTCTAGTGGGATTTGCTGATGAAATAAATAAGCCGTGGAGCCCGATTTGCCAGAACTTTTTTCTTTTTGAGTGTTTCGTGACGTTGGAACAATGTATTCCCTTTTGTGTTCCCCCACTAAGACAAGCCCCCATTTTATCAGATTAGTGGACTGTATGTAGATAGGGATCCCATTTTTGGTGAAGAAAACATATTCAAAGGACTTGACTCTTGAGCCTTAAAAGATTGCCCATAACTTGGGACATGCAGTGCAGAAATCAAATTCCTGGGATGCGGTTACATGCCCTTTTAAGGGCAGTATTTAATGTTTGTCAGCAATTGGATGAAACAGGAGGTCAAACTTGAGAGAATGTCGTCTTTGAATCCTCGTAACATTTTTGGGCTTAAAAAAGAATGTACTTTACTTCAGTTGGAATCGGAATATTTCTATTGAGACTGAAGATTTAGAATGTTCAACCTTTGTTCTTCTTCTTATAAGTCGAGGGACATAATATATTTAAGTAGCAAAATCCCAGAATGGAGAGGGAAAGTTACATAAAGAGCTGCTGCGAAGTGCAGCATGCAGCCATAACAGAAATATTTATACAGATTAACTATCTAGCAACAACCGAAAGTGTCTTGTTAATTTAAGCGTAATTTTGAGTTTGATAGTGCCCAGGTGCTGTCAATCTTGGGAAGATACAAGATTCTGTCCATAAGAACACATAATTGATCGTGGTGGACCCTGTCCTTGAATCTTAATTGAGAAAATGACCCTATCCTGCCGTAAGAGCCAAAGATATGTAGTTTAACACCTTCACAAACGAAGTAACAGTGCAGGAAAAAAAAATATAATGTCCAATGTCCCTCTTTGTTCTGGTTATGAGTGCTTATGACCTTAATTTCCACCAGAGAGAGGAGAGAACTATAAATATTATTTTTCTAAGTCTGTGGAGACCTTTCTAGGTCACCTTTCCATTTAAGTGTGTATTTTTCTGCAACAAAAAGGAAATTAATGCATATCCCACTACCGGGAGTTGCTAATATATGTTTTATTTATTTCATTAATTCTCATTGTGTTTACAAGTACGCCTTTATCTCTTCTACTACTTCCTCATTTAACCAGGCTTTTATGGTTTACTTTTGTACTTAAATAGGTATTGTTTTACAGAAAAACGTGGTCACTTTTCTGGTCCATAAACCATTGCTGCATGGATATTAAGTGGTAAGTGCTGCTCAAAATGATTCTCATCAATCTTTCTGATCTGGCTCACATACAAATTCCACAAGCAAGTGAACGTGATTAAATCAAAAGGGGAAGTGGGTTAGATGGAGTAGCATTTTATTCTTTAATAAAAGACGTAAACATCTGTACGAATTGTATTTGTAAGATAATTTAAATCTGGAGTGCACCCATTAACGCCAATTCCACTTCAGGGAACCTTTTCTTTTATCTGCCTCATAAAGATGACCAATTAATGCAGACATCAACAATGACACGCTAAACTTTTAATTATGATAGTGCAAAACATCAGTTTGGCCATTAAGGACGTAGTTTACTAAGACTAGCAACCTTTTCTTGATTACTGCATGCTGTTTAAACCGGGGTTACTGTTTTGTTTTTCATCGTCATCTTGGTTGTATTTTTGTCTTAAAATTATAAATTTTTTTCAGGGATCGTGGCACCACGTATATTATGAATAGAAACTAAAGTTCTCAGACCTGAGATTTCAGCCTAAATTATAAAGAAATAGAGAGAAAACCTAATGTTTTCTATGAAGTCTATAATTCAATAAATAGATCTCTAATTACAACTTCCTTGGACAACATTTTTAGGTTGCTTATATACTAATAAAAACTTCTAAACAAAGTTGAAAACAAAAATTATAATCAAACAAGGGAAAAAAAACATAAATTAACTATGAAAATATAACAAATTTCTAGTAACTTTGAGCCTTATTTTAAAGTAT